GACACCCGCACCCCCCTCCGCAGTTCTGCCCGCGGGGACCTGCGGCCACGCCCACCGGGAACGGGCTGCCTCCTCCCCTCTGCGAGGCCTGAGGACCCCCCACGCCACAGCTTCGGGATGGGCCTGAGCCCGGAAGCGGGGAGGAAGGGCCCGCTCTGTCCCTCTAGGTTCCCCAGGTTCGGGCCCAAACTGACCTCAAGAACAGCAGGTAGGGAGGGGCCAGGTGAGGGCAACCCGCTCCTGACATTCCGGGGGCGCCAGTCGGTGCCGGGAATGGCCCCTCCCATGGAGCCGCCACGCTGGGGGTCCCCCCAGAAAAGTCACCCTGGCTGTCTTCGAGCCCTTCTTGTAGACGTTTGTTGTTTGAGCGAAATGCCTGTTTCCCGGAACGAGCGGATACTTGGGAATGATCGCTTATTATTAACTTCAGTGGAGCAGGCGTCCAGCGCCCAGGGCCCAGCGCCCAGCGTCCAGCGGTGGCACAGAGCGGGCAGCTCCCCGCACGACCTCCGCAGACGCTTCTGCGCTCAGGCCTAGCCTGAGGTTTCTTTTCTTGTTTTAATATATTTTTTTATTGATTTTAAAGAGGAAGAGAGAGAGAGAAACATCAGATCAGTGATGAGAGAATCATTGATCGGCTGCCTCCTGAACGTTCGAAGGAGCCCACAACCCAGGCAGGCGCCCCTGACCGGAATCGAACCTGGGACCCTTTGGTCCGCAGGCTGATGCTCTATGCACTGAGCCACACCGGCCAGGGCAGCCCCGAGGTGTCTGCAATCTGGAATAGAGGCACCTGTCTTCCTCCTCGCCCAGATCCTGGCCCCTGGAATTCCCAAGTCCTTCCCTCCCAGAGGAACTGAGCCCTCTCCGGCGTCCAGTCCTACAAACCCCTTTGTTCATCCAAAAATCGATCCCAGGCTAACGGGCCTGGCAGGGCCTAGACCAGAGCTTGGAGCCCACCTTTCCAGGCCGTCCTTTGAACCCTTGTTTCATAGGTTTAACCTCCCGGGAATGCAAGTGTGTTTAAATCGCTATTTTTTTTCCTTGAAATAGAAGAATCCGTGGCATTTCAAGTGCTGGTCCAGCTCTCGCCCAAGCAGGGCCCGTCGGAGCCGGGGTAAGCTCTCTGCCTGGAAGGCCTGGGTCCGAGTGGGAGAGCCTTTGAAGAGCGGGTCTTGCTGGTAGTTTTGTAAAAGCAAATCTTGGGGTGATTTCTGTGCAAACCCGCCTGCCACCAAGCAGTCAGCGAAGG